TCGTCCGTGGCCGGGCCCGGGGGGGGGGGGTGGGGAAATGGGGGGCGTGGCAGAGGGCTCCATGCACTGCCCTTGCCTGCGGGTACCTCCAGCCAATGGGAGCTGCAGGGGGCAGTGCCTGCAGGAAAGGGCAGCGCACAGAGCCCTCTGCCCCCCACTTCACCAGGGGCCACAGGAAGGTGGAGGCGGCCGCTTCTGGGAGGGTGGCACGGGGACAGGGCAGGCAGGGAGCCTGCCTTAGCCCCACAGCACCACGGGGGTGGCAATCCCACGGGCCAGATCCAAAGCTCTGACAGGCCAGATCCGGCCCACAGGCCGTAGTTTGCCCACCCCTGATTTAGACTGTAACCTCTTCAAAGCAATGGCTGTCAGCTACTGTGTAAGCCGTACAGGATCTAGTCCAAAGGGGAGCCCATCCCAATGGGGGCTTCTAGGTGCTACTGGATAATAAATAAAATAAATAAATACTGGAACCATAGGACAACACAGAGGCAGTTGGGTGGAAGGAGGGTCTGCAGAGCTGGTGAAGGGGTGGTGGGATGCAGCCAGGCAACATGAGGGCTCCTGAGCACTGGAGAGGCAGCGGAAGGGAGCAGGTGAGGGTCTTTGGAGGGAGCCAGAGAGTAAGAAGAGAAGTCTGGGGATTCAGACACCAGGGATTGGTGGAGGGAGTCAGATGAAGAAGCTACAGTTTGGAAGACTCATACACTGAGGATGAGGTGAAAGGACAGAGCAGGAGGGACAAGCACGGAGGGGTAGGATGGTCTTGTGTTTAAGGCAAAGGACTGGGACATAGGAGAACTGAGTTCCAGGCCTGGCTTTGCCACGCACTGGGACCTTAAGAAACTAACTCTGTGCCTCAGCATCCCTTGCTGTAGAATGGGGACAGCACTTCTCAGGCTCCCAGGAGTTGTGAGGATAAATTCATTGTTTGTCAGGCACAATGCAGGCCACAGGAGATGGACTGGGGCCTCCGGAACTGGAAGCAAATAACAGGTGGGAACTGAGCTACATGATCTGACCTCTGAGGAAGGACCCAGGTCCCCACCCCTTGCCCTGTCCCCGAGAAGATTTCTCACCTGTAGTCTGCATAGGTCTCTGGACAGTAGAACAGCGCTATGAACATATTTTGGCCCCTACAGATGGTGTCCAGGGTCAGTGTAATTCCGTAAATGGAGGTGAGCAGGAAGAGTGATAGCGCAAGGATAAAGGCTCGGTGGTTCCGCTCCCCTACGCAGTTGTTAATCCTCCAAAGGAAAGAACATTTTATAAAACTTTTTTTTTTAAAGTTAAAGAAAAAAGTGTCTCTCTCTCCCTTGACTGGCAGAGAATTTGGCTCCAAGATGTGTCTGTATAATACACTTACCACAGTGCACAAAAATCCACTCAAGGGCATAGGCTAGTAGTTTAGGCCAATACTGAAGGAAATGTAAAAACAGCATATTCAGATGCTGCCAGTATCAATATAGCTCTGGGAGAGCCTCCCGCATCCTGTCGATTGCCTGCTGGAAGGCTCTTAGCCTTTCCTAAAAGCCTAAGAAAGATGATGTCTCCTTGCTTGATATGGCTGCACACCACCATCCCTGGGATCTCTGGCTGCATTTACACTGGTAATTTTAGGGACTCTCCCCCTGCTGCTGTAGCACCAGTGCAGCTCCAGTCGTGGAAGCAATTGCAGGAGTGCTAGTGTATCACAACATTTATACCTCCTTAGAGCACGTTTAAACATCATGGTGGTAATAAACCTGAGCCCTTTCTTACATCACTAGCACTCCCCTCAGTGGAACTGTACTGGTTCTACAATCACAGTGGGAAATTTCCCTAAAACTGTCATTGCAGACAGACTAGGGGCCCAAAGACCAAAAACTGGTCTTGAAACAGATCTCCTACACCAGAGTTGGCTAGTTATCAGGTCACCCTACTTAGGACAAATGACAGCTCTCTGTACCAAGAGGAAAGGCACCAAATCCAAGTGGCAGCCCTATTTGGTAGCATCTGGATCAAAGAGCAACAACTTCTTTAACCTTAAATAACAACCTCAGAAGTCTGTGGCACCTACCAGACACAGTGATGGTCCAGTCTCCTTACACATATGCCACACAACCGGCAATGTCCAGCCCGAGGTGGCCTAATCAGCTGACATTTGGTGCACCAGTCCTCCTTTGCTTTGTCTAGTCCCTCGGCCAGCATTCTGGAATAGCCCTTGGCATCATCGTTCTTAGCATGACAGCTGGCAATGCCAGACACAGCCGCTCCGTGAAGCCCATTGGAGCTCCCCAGGACTTTCCTGTTTGGCAAGCCATTGCTGCCTTGGCATGGTGATTTGTCATTGCTCATTTGGCTGGCAAGGTAGCCAGGGTCTCTCTTGGCTTGAGACAGGGCCACAAGCATGAGAATTAGCCCACAGGTGAGAATAACCACCTGCGTGTACCCCACATGGCCTCGCGGAACCACTTCCCGGAGAAACACATAATACATGTACCCCAGAGAGAACAGCCCCAGGCTCAAAAAGAAGAGAGTCCGTCCCTTCCTCCTGTGTGTGAGGTAGTAGTACCACAGCACCACCACAGGAAGGGATGTCAGAATAACAAGTGCCAACAGGAAGTGCAGAGCTGCTACGTGGAGGAAGACTGGCAGCAGGACGAGTGGTGGGAGCAGGGTGATATTGATCTTTATGGCCCCCTTAAGCCAGGGAATGCGGAAGCGATCCAAAATGGTGTCTGCAATTCTCTCTAAAGTCCCCGGGGACAAAGATTTGCACGTCAGCCACCTGTTAGGGAAAAGCACAGATTTTGCTCACATACATGAGACACTTCTGTGCTGTTTGCTCCCCTCTTAGTTCAATCTCTCCTTACAATCCATCAGAACCCACAAGATTCAATCACTTCACATCAATCACATTGACTTTCACTCCCCATTTCCCTTCCCATTTCTTTAGCCTCTTCCTATTCTATGCCCATGTGATGTAGCCTGTAATCGTTCTGGGACAGGAACTGTGCCTTTTTAAAGAAATCTCTAAAGTCCCATGCAAGGTTATTCTATTAATAATATTAGGCCTTTACGCTCTCTAACTTCTGTGATTCCATCTACCCACTTCAACAAAATCTAGCCCTGATTCAGAAACCAGCTGAATAGCAGCTGTGAAACTGACAAGAATCAGGTCTGGGTGTCCACAGATCTCTGGCTCTGGGGCAGTCCACACTGTGGCACTTACCCTAATGCTGCAGGCCCTGGAAGTCCTGGGTCTCTAGCAGCCCTGCATGCGAGCTGGCAGGAAACCAGGCAGGCAGCAACCCTGCCTGTGGTTCAGTGAAAGTTCTTTGAACCCAGTAGGTTTCCACAAAACATTTTGGGTTTGACAAATGAGAATTTTCTGATGAAATCCTGTTTTGCCTGGAAATTCCCAGCCAGCTCTATTGCCCCAGCCTTTATCCTAACTGGGCAGAAGGCTTTTGACATTCCCGAAATGGCCAGGCACTTGTCAACTGGCACAGACAACCACTCCTATCGGACAGGGAGATGTTTAAAAGTGCCAAATGTGTAGACTGGGTTTCCAAAGCTGAGCCTGACCACACAGTGCCCCATTCTAAAGAAGCTGGCGGGGGGTGGGGGGGAGACACTCAAGATACCATGGTCATGAGCGTGGTATGAGCCCCCTATGTGAAGGCAGATTAAAGACCAGGCTCTTTACCTTTCACAGCCCTCATCGAGGTCCTCGCAGTCACAGAAACAGGCCACTAGATGGTTCTTTTCCCCCGTTCGGTCAATGTACTCGCAGCAGCAGAGCGGCTCCTCCATCTCGGACCCTTCGACCTTTTCCCAAGTTTCCTGCAGCTGATTCCTCAGGCAACTGTGGCTCCCGCTTGCCCTGGCCAGCATGAGATGGAGACTCCCGCGGGGAAGGGTACAGGGACCCGGCTATCCCGGCACTGCCGAAGTTAGGAGCCGGCTCTTTCTGACACAAAAGCAAGACGTGAGTTGAAAAGGGGCTGCGGGGCCAGGCGCGGGGCTTCAGGGGCAACTCATCTGCTCCCTGGCTTAGACCAGCAGCCCCGGGGCCCCACTGCTCTGGCTCGGGCCAGCCCGTCGGAGGAAGAATGTGGGGTCCCAGGTGCCCCCTCAGCTCACCCAGCTGCTCAGCCCGTCCCCGCACACCCACCAGCCCTGCTCCACCCGCGCCCCAGCCCCACTCGCCATTCACCCCGCACACCCTCAGGAGAGCAGCTGTGATTGGCTACGCCCCCCGCAGGCGCTCACCCCCGTCACTCACCTCACGTGAGCGGGGCGCGCCCCGCCGCCCCTCCCGGCTGAGGGTGGGCAGCAGCAGCAACAGCGCTCGCCGCCACCTACGCCCGCTGCTCCCTCGCCTCGACCCTACCGCTTCCGCACAGCCTCGCCTCCCATGCAACGTCAGCCGGGACGGCCCAATGCCGACACGGGCGGGGCGGGGCCAGCCATGACGCCACGGCAGAGGCCCGCCGGCATAAAGGGCGAGGAGGGTGGCGACAGGTGGGGGCGCAGCCTGGCACAGAACGCTGTGCAGACGCTACGTCACAGAGCCGGCCGCGCGCGTGCTTCCTGCCCCGGCCGGTACCCGGCCAGCGCCGCACGCGCGGCTGTAGCTTTGCCCGGCCAGGCTGGGGCGCTCCGCTCCTGCCAAGCGAGCCCGGGTCGGGCTGGAGGAGCCGCGAGTTCCTCTGCGAGCCAGCGCCGAGGACCCGCCCCAGACGTTGCATCGGTTTAATTAAGCGGGGTACGTGGCCCCGGTGCAACTGCGCGAGTGGACGCTACCGCTGCTGTCAACAGATGGGCCGGCGCCACGCACGCTTGCTCCGGTTTGACGTCGCTGTATCCTCGCACCGCTGCATGCCCCGCTAGTGACTTTTGAAAGGCGCAAAGGGGAAGGAGCTGCCCAACAAAATAGCAGCTGATAAGCAAGACACAGCACGTCCCTGCTGGTACCGTCTTGCCAGGGGCAGTTTGCAAAATCAAAACTGTTCAACAGAAGGCTGGAGACAAAGGCTACCGGAGAATCTGACGCACCGGCAGCTGCAACAGAGAGGAGCAACTACAACTATCGTTCCTGCTCAATACACAGTGCTGGGAGGTTCTTGGTTCTATTAGACATTCATAGTGACAGTATAGTGTGAGTGGGTAGGTAATGCCTATGGCCCCAAACTCAAACCAGAGTATTTCAGTCAGTAGTAGACAAGCACCAGTCTTGCATCCTAACGGCTAAAAACGAGCTGCCTTTACCCGCGTGCTTACAAAAAGAAAGCTTATGCTCCAATACATCTGTTAGTCTATAAGGTGCCTCAAGACTCTTTGTTGCTTTTTACAAAAAGAAAGGCAGGCTGGCCACGTGCAGGGTCAGCTTTAGGCTGATTCAGCCGATTCCGCTGAATCGGCCCCGCGCCTAAGAGGGCCCCACAGCTGTCCACCCCAGCTCACTTCCCCCTCCCCAGATGTTCGTGGGAAGTCTGAAAACAAGCAGGGCCAGGTGGCAGCAGGTAAGCTGCGGGGGGGGCGGCGCAGTCCAGCCCCAGCCGAGCACCCCCGGCCCAAGCGACTCTGGCCCGGCTTGGGCCCCAGGATGCTGGCCCCGGCCCGAGCGCGCCAGCCCGGTGCCGGCTGAGTGGCCCTGGCCAGGATCCAAGCCCCGCGATTAGGGTGACCAGACAGCAAATGTGAAAAATCGGGACGGGGGTGGGAGTAATAGGAGCCTATATAAGAAAAAGACCCAAAAATCGGGACTGTCCCTATAAAATCGGAACATTTGGTCACCCTACCCACGATCCCAGCTGGAGCGTGGCCCAATTCCTGGGGGCGGGGCTTGCCGCCTCTTGCTAAAGCCGGCCCTGGCCACCTGCCAATGCATAAGGAGCGGCAAATAATGCCTATAATTGTCACAGACTTGGCTCATTCCAGCGAGTAGATACAGAGCAAACCCATGACACAGTCACATCAGGAAACCACCTTTGAGGGTTAAAATACATATATAATGTGTTGTTTTGCTGTCCACAAAGACATGAAAACCATAACACAGCTGGGGTACAAGCATGTTTTTCAAGCATGACTATACATGCCAGTTTCTCTAGTGTAGAGTTGGCAATGTTGTAGCAGCAGCCATGGTTAACCCTGGTTTAGGTTTTTTAGGAAGTTGCTAACAGGGCCAATATAAGGGCCTCCTCAATTTTTGTTTTCTAATCTGGTCCTTTCCCAATGTCTATATGTCAGACCATTTGCAAAGGCTAGAGATAACAGAGACAAGATAGCTTCCTCACTGCTGGGCATCACACCAAGGACTCAAGGAACAATTTATCCTGGAGTGCTGAAATTTCATTAGGCAAGCTGAACAGATGTGGTGGGGTAGGGTGGGAGGAATTACCACAGCCCATCAGTATGCAGAACAATTTAATAAGAGATTAAACACAGAGCTCTTTCACTGTGAGTGAAACAAAAAAATACAGTCTTAAAAAAATAAATATGGGTATTTCAAACTGCTGACTTGTTTTACAGAGTATGTTTGTCTATGAAGGAGCATATGAATACCCTGGCTATGTGAAACCACTACCTGCTGTTATTTCTTTACAGAACATCCCCTGTCCTGCCCCTGCTGTAGCTTAGTGCCAATGATTCTTCAAATCAATATAAAAGAGTTCAGATTTCATTAGATACAATCATTGCTGTGCTGAGGTTGCTCTTCTCTGTAATTTGCACATCACAGTTACACAGTACAGTACAATGTTCTCACTCATTTATACCTCTGGCTTGTTCATAAGAAAACCACATGTATGGGGGTGGTGGGGAGAGATTCTCAGAGTTACAGGACCTCAGAACTTGCCCTGTTTTATCCAGAGGTCTTTATTAGCTGCACCAGCAGCTGCTGAGCAAAAAATAGTAAAAAAGTCCTGAGACAACAGAATGTCAAAAACCCCACCCTCAAACAGACATGCAGCATCTTCATTCTCATGACATCTTGAGTTATGGGCGTTGATAATGTTAACTCTCAGTCTCATCACTCTTGGTCTTGTTCAGGTGATCAAAGCTTCTCTGAAGCATAGAAAGGGAGCTTTTCAGCTGTGGAGATACAACCCCCAGTCCCCCAAAAGGATATAAATTATGCTGCTGCAAGGATAAGATGTAAATGTTTTATTTTTACATTCAGAATAATTCCCTCCCACCCTTTCATATTAACAGTAGTTTGCACTAAATCATTTATATTACAGCTGCTAGGCAAGCACAGTACTCAGCATAGACTGTCATTTCTACGTAGTTACAGAGCTGTCCTAAGTTCTGTTACCCTGCTCGACTATGCTGCAGTAGCACTGGCTACATTGCAAGAAAGAAACCATCACATTGTCATTTTTAACATAGTTGCTGCACATGGCAAATACTGAAAGGAACACGGCAACAAGATGTGCCCTATAATAGAGGCATGATGCCTTCAGTGTGCTTTAAGGCACAAGGGTGAAGGCAGAAAACTGCCAGCATGCAGAAAGGGCACAATATTATAGCAATTTAAAGTGTACCTTGACTTGCACAGGAAAAAAGTGGAGGGTGATTTTTTTTTTTTAAGATAGGAAATGTGAAATTCTCACTCAATATATTTCAATATTTAATTTTCTATGTTCTTTAAAAATACCATTTTAGCTATTTGGAATTAACTACTGTCAGAATGGTAGGAAGTTAGGAAAGAGGAGAGTCAGAGTCAGAAAGATAAGAAAAAAAATATGGGGAATCCGCTTCTACTTTATGAGATTTCCATCACTCATTGATAGAGATACTTTTGTAACTGTGCTAGAAGTGGTTAATATCAGATCAGCAGCAATTTATGGGCAGGGTACACCTGTGAACAGGGAAGAACAAAAACTACCATTGTCTCATGTGATTTTCCTTGGGAGCATGGGGAAAGGTTGATTAAGCAGCTGACGGGCAGGAGTAGCTTGGAGCTCCTCCACAGTTTCTGTACCCAAACAGACTCTTCTATCCCATTTCTATGATTTATAAATAATTAAGTTTAAAAGGTTAGTAGGCTAAAAAGTAAAAAATAAAATCAGTCAATTTTGCAAGCTTTCATTTGCTAAGCCATGGCTTCTCAATCCAGCGGTCTGCACCCTCCTTGTTTTTATAGCTCGATGGAAGTGGAGCGGGTCCCCAAACTTTTTCCTGTTACAATATAGGGCCATAGTATGGAAAAGTTTGAAAACCACACAGGGCAGCCCAGAGGATTCAGGGGGCCTGGGGCAAAGTGGGGGAGCTGCGGCGCTTGTACAGACCCGGCGGCCGTCCGGGTCTTTGGCGGCATTTCAGCAGCAGGGGGCCCTTCAGTCGCTCCGTGTTTTCGGGAGCACTGAAGGGCCCCCTGCCGCCGAAATGCCGCCGAAGACCCGGACTGCTGCCGAGCCAGGGCTCGCGGGGTCCCTGTGGGGCCTGGGGCAAATTGCCCCACTTGTCCCTCTCCCCCCCCCGAGCAGCCCTGAAACCACAGCGTTAAGCAACTGAAGGAGCCTGGAAAGGAGGAAGGACGAAAGGAATGATCCCACAAATATCTGCTCTCCCTCAAACACCCTCTAACAGATATTTTAAAAATGTGGAGTTTTTAATATAAATACTGAAATGGAGACAGAGCCAAATATCTGCACACTGATGCCACTGCAGGTGAAGCCAGCTCATCTTCACCTGTTGCCATCTTACATACACATAGAGCAAGAGGGATGACCAAATAAAAGCCTTTGGCACCCTGCACAAAAAAAATCCTCAGAGGAAATTGAGCAATTGCCCAGTGCTCTCAGAAATAAGAGAATGGAGCCATTCAAAAGCAATCTTATCTTAACTTTTCCTGGGTTCACAAATGCGCCAAAGCCACCTCATAACCAACATCAAAGGTATTTGATAGATGTAAAAGGATCAGCATGGACACTTGCTCTTTGTCCATTGCAAAGGGGAGATCACAGAATAGTAGAAACGTAGGACTGGAAGGACCTTGAGAAGTCATCAAGTCCATTCCCCTGCTCTGAGCTAAGACCAGGTAAACCTAGACCACATCACTGACAGGTGCTGTTCCAACCTGTTCTTAAAACCTCCAATGATGGGGATTCCACAACCTCCCTTGGAAGCCTACTATAGAGCTTAACTACCCTTTATAGTTTGAAAGCTTTCCCTAATATCTAACCAAAATTTCCCTTGCTGCAGGTTAGGTCCATTACTTCTTGCCCAACCTTCAGGGGATATGGAGAACAACTGATTCCTGTCCTCTTTATAATAGCCCGTAGCATATTTGAAGACTGTTATAAGGTCCCCCCTTTGGGTTTCTTTTTTCAAGACTAAAACAAAACAAAAAACTAAGCATATTTAACCTTTCCTAGTAGATCATGTGTTCTAAACTTTTTATCATTTTTGTTGCTTCCTCTGGACTCTTTCCAATTTGTCCACATCTTTCTTAAAGTGTGGCACCCAGAATTGGACAGAGTACTCCAGCTGAGGCCTCACCAGTAGAGCAGAACAATTACCTCCTGTGTTTTACACACAACTCCTGTTTCTACACCTCAGAATTATATTAGCCTTTTTCACAACTGTATCTGAGGTTCTGTCCACACTGTGGCTTGTAACAGTGTTTGAAACTATTCCCAGACAAGCTTACAGCCAACAGCCTCATTTATGATAATCTACGAGCAAGACCAACGCAGTCTCTCTACTATATTCAAGCTTAAAATGAAACTGACAATGGTCAAGGAAATCTGTGGTCTCCAGATAACACCAGAGCTGCCTCACCACAACTTTCACCAAAACAAGGGAGCAAAGTTAGAAACAAAGATGTCTATGGAAAGGATTATCCATATCAAGAGGGGGGTTCTTAAGTGTCAGCCTAAATCACCAGTTTGTGAGATGCTGGTGCCTTTCCTGCCTGATGGTCTCCCACCAACAAGTGGACCAAATATTCTTCCACTAGGATTTGTAGTTCAACGCCCCTGTGGCATCCTAGAACTTCACTGAGCAAGACAGGCTGAGTTTCAGCCTGAGAAGACTTCTTGTTTGTCTCCACTCCTGCATTGATTGCTCTCGGAAAGGCAGCCAATCCAATCTGAATCCAATTATCTTGAGGTAGCCAGATAACCCCTCACAACATGACATTTTCCACTGTGTATCCAAGTCCACTCTTCTTACAAACAACTTTCATTTGGAAACAACTTGAAATCCAGTGGCTGTATGATGCTTCCTGCCAGGACTTTATCGCTAGGCCATACTAGGATAGAAGCAAACTCAAATCTACCTGCCTACGTTCCCTTTTTAAGCATTTTAGTATGATATGCCTCAAGCTCCTGGATTCCCAGAGTTATCTATGCTGGCAGATATGATTTCTGCCTTAGCTCAGGGTGATCCAAGGAAGCAGAACTATACATTATGGGAGAAAAAAAATTTAAAGGAAAATTTAGACAATGAAATTTTGCCATTTGTTAGATCTACCAGGCTGTGGAACAGTCTCCTAAGAATAGTGTTGAAGCCCAGTCATAGGAAGCTGAACTAAGCAAACCAATGGGGCACGTTCTCTAGGGAAGAATCCACCAATGGCAGGAGGAGGGACTAAATTATTCAATATGTGTGCTCTGCTTCTAATTTTTATGATTCTTCAAAGTGCAATGAATATATCAAATCAATGTTTTTTTTTCTATTTCTTCTGCTTGGCCAGTGCTCTAGGCAAACAGAAATACAGAGTGCTCAGGAAACAGGCAATGTGTATAGAAAGACAAATGAAGCCCGGCAAAAGAAAAGGGGCAAGGCCTGAAAAGGTTGCCACTTTCTTTACACACCCTGCTGCAGCTTTATTCTTCCTGAAGACAGGCAGCCACAGACCGGCTCATTTATTTCACAGAGCAAGACACTTTTTAAAGGGGATTTTAAAACTTTTGAAAAATGACCTCTATGTTTTGTTTCCTCACTGCTACCTCAGAAGCAACAAAAGCATGTGTGGGGAGGAAGCCTACCTGTTCAAGCATTGCAATAGAGTCTTGCAGCACTCCCTTCACCTGCTGAACCTGTTCCTTGTCACGCTGAGGGATATCCTCTCTGGACACCATGTCTGGGGCTAAGCTGAAAAGGGAACATGATGAGAAACATCAATACCATGGAATAAATAGCTGTACATCCATACCCAGCAAGCACTGGTCTCTACCTGCACTCATTAGCACTTTTCAAGCCAGGACCACATTAAGACTGTGTACAGTTACATTTGAAACTATGTTACCTCTTTCTTAGAGATGTTGCCTTAGTGTCCAGTGTATACACTGGACACTAAGAGGGAACATGCATGTAATTAAACTGAATTCCTCAGGCTTCTAAACAGGAGTAAATTCCTCCATATGAAGGAAAGTTGAAGTGATCTAGTTCTTCTACCAATCTTATATTGCAAAGGTCTGTCCTACCACAAAATTAGCAGGATTGTCATTCTCTGTCCCTGCTAAAGATTAGGTTAGATTTTGAAACTCTGTCTTTCACTCCTATGTCCAACAGAGGTGAAGCAAGACCGGTGTCAAGGTCTGCATTAAACAAATGGAAGAGGGGTAGCCAAAGGCATCATAAAGTCATGAACATATCAGCCCTCCCAATAAAATCCTTTAAATATAGAGATACCAGTTTCCAAATTGTCTCCTCCAAGTCAGATACACAAACCTGGTTCTTGAGAATCTCAAGTCCGTTTGCAAACATTGTAATGCATTTAATTGGATAACGTGAACAGTGTTTGAAGATGTAAAGCACAACAGAACTGCTAAGTGTTAAATTACATCACATTCCAAAACTGGTCACTTCATCCTTTTAAAAAGTGAGCGGGACATGAACTTTGAGACATTTGTACCTTGCAGGGATCAGCAGAAAGGAGGAGGCTGTAATTAAGTGTAGATCTCCATGAGACAAGATGGAGAAATACAGCAGGGTAGACTGTGCAGAAAGGGGCAGGCTAATCCTAAAATGTCTTGGAGAGGGAGAAAGCCAGTGGTGCAATGTGAAGCCATTTGCTGGACAGCAGTGTCAACTGTAAAATGGCTACAGGTCACAAAAGTATTTAAAGATTTGCCTCCTGAAATTTGCTTGTTATGAGTCCAGTCCAAGTTATCAGGTTCTTATATCTGGATGAAGACGAGGAAGAATTCAGTCAGAAATTCACTCACTTTAAAGACTTCTCATCCTGAAGGTGGACCCGGTAAAATGACTGAGCTGCACGCTCTATCTTTGATAGTTTAAGGAAGAGAGTCACATTCAGCAAAACCAAGAGCAGCAAACTGTATAAAGAAAATCAGACAGGTTTAATCATTGCTTATCATTTTGCTTCTGCAGCATTACTAGGGCCATGATGGCCAGAATGAGTAATGTTCTATCCTCTCTGAACAAACCCTCAGGAAAGAACCTGAGAAAGCAACATGCGGGAATTTGAAGTATCAAGAGTATCTGAGTGGGATATATTAGGCTGTGAAATAGTCTTTCAAAGGAAGTGGTGGAAGTCTCATCCTTTGACATTTTTAAGACTAGAGTGGATGAATACTAGAAAATGTAGCGTACGAACAATCATGAATTAGCAGCAGCAGCAGACTAGTTCAACCACTCAGCTTTTTCATTCTACATACTACGCAGTAATTGAGCTCCTCCCCTGGAGTCTTCCTCCCATTCCCCTGTCTGCTGGGATCGCAGGGTGACCACCCTGATCCCTTGCCCCTAAGGCCAGCCCTGATTAGGACCCCACCCCACTGTGCTAGTGCCATGTAAACACAAAGAAAGAGAGAGTCCCCTTACAATCTAAGAATGATGAGCAACAAAGGGTTTTACTCTGAAGACTACTAAAGACAACTCCACTAGTGGCCCATATACCATAGGCTTGAGAAGCACTGGACTGCATGAATAGTCTTTTCCGCTTCCATATAGGTGTAAATAAGATTAGCTCTCAGACATCAGTCAAATTGTGGTTTAACATCAGTGAGTACTTACAAGATGCTCATTACCACAATGATGGCTGTGGTCTTCCTTGCAGCATCCCTTTTCCTTCCTGTAGGGCATGGAAAAGATCAGGTTAGAAATGCTCGACATTAACTCTCCTAAATAGGAGTCTACAATGCACAACAAGTGGTGGATTAGATGGCAGCCCCAATGGACAGACACACCAGCTGTGTGCAGTTTGGGATGCCCATTTATGCACATAACAGAAACTATTTCTCTATCCATCCCAATGGAGGAATCAGCTGGAGAATCAAGTTTACATGTCCATCTCTTATGCTAATGCAAAGCAGTGCTGTGAAGTATGTTCCTGAGTTAGGCCTGTTCTACACTTAAAACTTAGATTGACCGAGCTATGTTGCTCAGGGGTGTGAAAAAATCATGCCCCTCAGAAACATAGTTACTCTACACTAAACCTTGGTGCAGACACTGCTAGGTCGGCACAAGAATTTTTCCATCGACCTAGCTACTGCCTCTTGAGTGGGTGGATTTACTAGAATGACAGAAAAACCCCTTTTGTAACTGTAGCAAGTGTCTACTCTACAGCAGCACAGCTGCAGCTCGGCTGAGTAGACATACCCTTAGACAAAGCAGATCCCAGTGGGTACTCACTTCCACATGCCTACCCGATCACATTGCCAATGCCGCACACCAGTAACCATTCCAGTTTCTTTTCTTGTCTATCGCACCAAAAATCAACCTGGTTTCAGTAATTATCATCCTGCAGAAAACACTTTAAATTCAACTGAGTGCAAAACCGCTCCCCGTTGGACACCTTTGGGAATCTGATATTGGCATACGGCAGGATGAAATGTACATTTCCTCTCAAACTGAAAGAATGTCACCCACCACCACTGACTGGTTAACCTAGAATTGTGTAAGTTACCTGATCTCCTACAATAGTTCCTAATATTGAGATTTCCTGGCCTGGCAAAGGGACATACATTCAGGCTGCCACATACAAGGAGACAAAAGCACTTGCCTGGAAAGCTGGAGCAGTGGTGGCAGATTAGGAATGTGGGAATTAACACAATTACATATGCTATTAACCCAAGCTTACTCTGGTATTCTCAAGGGCTTTTTTCCTGGTTTGAAGTCTGTGTTCTCAGTTCAGTGGTTACAATTTAAGTTGTTTCATATAAGTCAGAGTTCTCTGGCACTCAGTGCACAAATGTTCCTCTTCTTTTTCAAAGTAGTTACTGTACGCCATGACTGATTACAAGTCAATCTGTCATGTCTAGTGGCAGGAAGGGGCAACGGTGCTAGATCAGCTTCGGTGCCCAGAAATGACAGAAGCAGCCAGGAGATTGAAAAAGAAGTCAGTTTAATTAAAAAATACAAAACAACAAGAAGATTTAGGATGATGAGTCCGGGGGGCAACTGTAAAATTGGAACTGTTTCAAGGACTGCATTCAGTTACCTGTGTAGTTAAAGTCCAAAAATTAAATGCTCTGGGATTTTGTGCAAGTTCTTAAAATCAGGTTGCATTGCTTTTCCTGTGCAAGCTTTGTGCTGGGTTTAGAGTTACCTTGGAGCAGAATACATTATAGATTGCACTTGAGTTCAGCAGATGCTTGTCACTGCAAAGAGGATCAGACATGCTCCAGATCCTGTATAGCCAAGCTTTAGTAATATAAAATAAACATTAACTATTAATCCAGCTGTCTTTACCTAACTGGGTCTAACCAATACACATAGTGGCATCACATTTGTTCTGTCTTACTAATTAAACACCCTCTCTAACACACACATTTGGACAAGCAGCTGAAATAGAAAAGATGCTGCTATACCCACCTACTATGTTGCCCTGGGACTCTAGTCCCATGTCCCCAGAAGAGTGCTGTGAAGAACGCTTAGGAAACAACTCTGCCACATTCCGGTGTAAATTCCGTCGTCGTCTTCTTAGGGCAATAAGTTTCCCAGGATCTTCTATAGGTTGGTTTATTGCATATTCTTCCACTAGCAGATCTGATTCTACAGTTGAAAATAAGTATTTATTTTTCCCTTCGCTTTTCAAATGGAAAGTTCACATTATCTGGCTATGATAGAGACAATACTAGGCAAGGCACACAAATCAATAGAGGCTGTTGTCTTCTAGAAAATATATATGATACATAAGAGATTCCTTAAACTGTGTACCATCGACTTGTACTAACATCATTACACTCGATACTTTACAGGTATGAAATATATACTTTTCCAGCACAGTACAGCTTAATGTATTTGCTAAGCACTGTTGCTTTCTTTCTCATAGCTACAACCAAGGAAGCACATTGATTTAAATGGGAAATCAAATTAATGGATTTTTTTTGTATCCTCACACCTCCTTCTTGGGAGCTGACCCCCATCCCCAGGGCACAAGACTATTGATTGCTAAGAGGAAAATTTTTGTAGGAGCCCTTTGATAACATACTGGAAGCACAATACAGTGGCACCCCAGAGTTAGCAGTATATTGACCTAGGGGATCCTTTGACTTGAAGGAGACACAAAGAGAATCTCACACTTTGTACATTTATTTCTAGGAGAATCAGTTTCATGACCACTAAAATTTACCAGATCCAGCCACAAAAAAGATTTCACCCTGTTACTACAAAAAGTAAATCCTCACCAAGTTGTTTGAAATTCTCCTCTATCCCGCTCCAGGTGTTCTTCTCAATTAGAGACTTGATGAGGCCCCATGGCTGCTTTTTGTACTTCACATCTGTGGAAAGCCTGCAACAGCACAGAATGGAATGGTAAAGTGAACGATAAATGGTAAAGTTAGTGGCTGTCTATAATCCAAAACAGTCACTATTATAAATAGGTAAGACATTGTCAGTTGGCAGCACTCACACTGAAAAGGTAGGGATTAGACATGGATAAAGAAAAACTGTAAACTGCCTTGCAGCTAGAGCTCTGTGGGAACTTGAATTTCCATTTCACAGGACATTCCACAATTTCAAAATTTGCTTTAGTTCCCAATCGGAATTTGTAATGTTTCATTTCGACTTTGACTTTTTTTAATATACACCTCTACCGCACTATAATGCGACCCGATATAACAAGGGTTCGCGTATAGCACGGTAGCAGCAGGGCTCCAACGGTGCTTTAAAGGGTCCGGGGCTCCGGCTGCTGTGGGGAGCACCGGGCCCTTTAAATCACCGCTGGAGCCCTGCTGCCCCTACCCCGGCGCCGTGGCAGCGGGGCTCCACCGGCGATTTAAAGGGCCTGAGGCTCCCCGCAGCGGAGCCCGGAGCTCTTTAAATCACCGTAGGAGCCCTGCCGCCCCTACCCCAATATAACGGGGTTTCAGCTATAACGCGGTAGGGATTTTTGGCTCCCCACAGGGAGAGGTGTACTTTAAAATAAATTTCAAACCAAAAAAAGTTAAAATGTTCCTTTCTGAAAATGTCAAAATGGAATGTTTTTGACCTTATCAAAATGCTTTTTTCTCCCCCAATTGTTTTAAACAGACTTTTGTTGAAATTAACACGTTCCCTTGGGAAGTTTCTGGTTTGATGAAACAGAATTTTCCAACAGAAGAAACTTTATCAGAAATTTTTCTACCAGCTCTAATTATAGCTCAGTGTTACAAATGGTGTTACATGCTGTATTTGCTATCGTCCAACACATACACTCTACATGCATTGCTTGTATATCCCTCTCCCCTTGAGATGTTATGATCACCATATATCTGTATAAAGAGGACCAGAGGGGTCTCCCTTCAGAGCCAGTCAATGCTGCTTCGTAGGCCAGGTTTACACTACAGACCTATATCAATATAATTGTATTGCTCAGGAGTGGGAAAAATCCACTCCCGAGTGATGTAGTTATACTGACCTAACCCCTTGTATAGACAGCATATGTTGATGGGAGAGCTTCTCCCAGACATAGCTACTGCCTCTCAGGGTGGTGAATTAACTATGCTAACAGAAGAAGCTCTCCTGTTCGTGTACTAGTGTCTTCACTAAAGTGCTGCAGTTGCGCTGCTGTAGCACTGTATGTGAAGCAAGTCCTTACATTAGCTAGAAAGGTTGCTCAAGGCATTCAGTTTTCCCCAGGCAGAGAGTTCACCTGTTTCCCTTCATACTCCCAGTGCCAAAGATCCCAGCCTAAAATCATACCCAGGTTTCCCACACAGCAGTGTTGAGCATTAACTGCTACTAAAACTATTCTCTTACACAGTGTGCTTCAGCTCCAAAAAGTGACTGTAAAAATGGTATTAGGAGGGTTCATGTTCATTATCTCTCAGTGTTTTTCACATCAAATGTGCTCAGTTTACAAGATGATTTTCATGACACCCAAGTCTGCAAAGTCAGCTTGGGATTGAGATTCAAGCTGGTTTCTCTTTCTCTTGAGCACCATCACCACTAGTAGAGGTGGTGCAGGCCAAATTCCACTTTCACTTACTCCTGGGCAATTTAATAGCTTCAAGTTATGCCTTTGGCAATGACAACTGTGCAGGAGCACGCACAGGTGTAATTTGTTGGTACTTGGTAAACAATTTCATGTAGAGTTCCCAAGGAAGAGTACAACCCAGCTCATTCTCTTGAAGCTATGTTGGCTGTGCAGGTCACAAGAGTAAAACCTTATTTTTGTCACTAAAAGCCACCAGAGCTGACTAATACTTGCAGGAAACACATACAATGAATAAGAAGGGGCCATTTTTACATATTTCTCAACACTTCAAGGGAAGAAATTTGTGCAAAGAAATTCAACTTTCCCATGATGTAGGCACCTCTTTTAGTAAACACCTCAGTGCATACAACATGGCTCTCCTGCCCCACCTGCTGCACACCACTCTGGCTCACCGTAATCTGCATTTCTGATTGGACGTGCGGGTGATGAAGTATCTGTTCACAGTGTAGAAGTAATCATGGTATGGGACATCATGTGTCAGCACCTCTGCGTCTACCCGGTAAGACTGACCTTTCTGGCTCAGTTTATTCAGGATCTAACCATAAAAAAAGAAGGGGAAAAAGACATTTTAAATACACAGTCTCAGTTCTCTTTCCTTCAGTCTTTGGGTTCATCATGCCAGCAAAACTACCACCTAAAAGCTACTGGCAGTAGGGAAAGAATCTGAAAGAGTTTGCGAAAATGAGACAGGTGGAGAACTCATGATGGTCACAGATAGGGGTCGGGGCTTGGCAACCACTGTCCTTCCCACATTGCCAAATGGGAGAAGGCTCCTAGTTAGCTCCCAGCAGGACAGGATGGTTTTGGTATGAAAGAGGAGGAGAACCACTGGTCTAAAACTCTCAGCATGGGCCTGGGGGCCAGGAACTCCTGAGTTCTAGTCCTGGCTCTGCCTCTATCTCACTGTGTGACCTTTGAATAGTCATTTCACTTGACTGTGTCTTAGTTTCCTTGTCTACAAAATAAGGCTCACACTTACTCCCGCAAGGACTGTGGGGAAGAAGTGAGGTTTACGAACCTCTGTGAAGATGAAAGGCACTACATAAGTGTTTATTAAAGAGGAGGAGGGCAGCTGACCATCATCACAAATGACACATTTAACTGCTGAGCCACATTCAAACTCCTAAACTCTGCTGTGTGGTCATCACTGTAGCAGATACTGAAGTGAGGGTTTCTCTTATTTTGGCATACATTGTGAATGCACACAGTACCTGCTTTTCTGTTGCAGTTGTGTACTTCCCAACGAGCGGATTGTTAATCATTATAGTGTAGGTGAGGGTCCTCAACTGATTGCCACTGCCGTCCATATTCCAAGGGGTCGATACAGCATCTAGTCACAAAATGTATAATTATTAATGTCCAACAATTTACAGGGAGCGGTCTCAATCCTTAACTTGGTTGAAAGTGGTTTCACAGTGAACAGGTTAAAGGTCTGCTCCTCTCCTTCGTGAGTTCCTGTATGTTTACTATGTAACGCAATGTAGAATCAGCTCATGTTACTCACTGAGGGATGCCAGAGAGCCTGATTCTCCCTTGCGTTGCACATCTTGTGTCATCATTCACACCTGTGAAATGTCAGTGACTGCAAAACACCATCACTCTGATTGGAGACCATTTCACACCAACTCTGAATAGGTGTAAACAAGGACACAAAGGTAAGGAAATGGAGAATGGGGCCTGAGTGTTTAGAGGTCAGAATTCGGAAGTGTGTTGGAGGAGGAGGAGGGAATACCTCCACACACACACGGTCTTGTCACTTTCTGCTTGTAACTCCTTTCTTGCTTTTGGACATAGGAGTTTTCCAGTGGAAAGGCCAGCCTGGAACCAATCCAGATGGTTGGTAATTTACAAGAATAGGGGAAAGTGACAGAAACACTGACCAGTATTTCTGGACTCTCATGTCTGCTAGATGCTAGAAGAGCAGAATACACCATGGGAAAAATTAAAGAAAGGCTTTAAATGAAAAGCTACACTGTGTTCCATCTGCCTAGGATGGAGGTTATAAAGTTCATTAGCATTAGTGAGATAGCTCTTGCTGATTTGCCTTAAAATCTGACACTGAACAAATATTACTCTCTTTTGGACTTTATCTTCTGTTTCTATGATCTCAATAAATAAAATTTACTTGCCCAGAAAATTAAAGCCTGTGAGTGTTAATTTAGGAGGATGCAATGATTTATTCTACGTGCAAACTGTATGAACTTTACTACTACTTGAATATAACGATTAAAAAAAAAAAAAACCTAAATTGAGCCAATACCCTAATCAATAAAGCAGAGACTTTAAATAATTTAATATGTGATTGATTTTAATGTTGTAACATTAATATGTACTGTGAAGGTTCTACTCTGAAAAGTGAATGTAAAGAGGGTATTGTTTTTGTGTTCATTGTCTCAATAACTCCAGAACAAGCACACTCATTTTATAAATAAAAAATGTTTTTCTGACAGTCCTGAACACACACCCTCCTCTCTAAAAGTCAAGCTCATTTTTTTTGACTCTTGTATAAGCATTATTATTTTACAGCACCAAAAATATGCTAGACAAAGTGCAGCACAGATAGAAAGATATGGTCCTTGCTCCAAAGAAATTAAGATTTGATATTATCTAGGACATAATGAATGGAGTTAAAACAATAAAGAGGGTGTGGGGTGAGGACACACATAGGTTACAGTGATAAAATCCATGAGGTTAATCAATCTAATCTTGTACACACCTTGGTAGTTCAGTTAGATTTCTTTTCATTTTGAAGAAGAAAGATTTTGTAAAAAAGATCCTGCCATTATTTCTCCTGGCCAACCCTATTACCGTCACATTCTTCCCTCAGTTACGCTTGTGCTAGCTGTTGTCAGTGAGGTAGGTAGATGTAACTGATTAGTCCTGTCACTGGAACATAGCTAGCAATTCTGATGCTGATGTAGTAGGTAGAAGAGACTCCAGCTCATTGTCCTAGAGCTGAACTTGGCAAAAAGAAGTAAAAGTGTCAACACTTATTACTTCGGTCAGAGCTTTGAGTCTTAACACACACAGGGAGAAGGAAAGGGCCAGGTTTACGTAGTCTTTTTCAAAGCAGAACCTTATCTTTAAAAGCAGGTTTAATTCCCCCTTTATGGGCAGAACCTGTTGAGCTTTGGTTATTCATCTCCGACTACATTAACACTTCTCTCACCAAGATTGAGAATGTAATTTTTTCTAGCATAAATCTTTACATGAATTGAAAGGGGAAACTATATTACCTACTATATTCCTGGTGTTGAGAAATCTCTGCATGAAATGGGAATTGGTGAAAAGCATCTCAAACATCTTGTCTGCGCTGATATTGAAAACTCTATTAATAAAGAGTCTCCCGTGCAGGTCATTCTCAGGGACAGTCTCCTTGGCTGATAAGGAAATGGAGAGGAACAGGTTAAGGAAATGGATGGGACCCATCATCTGCCCACAGTAAAAAAAGACATTTTAATGCTTGATCCTCTGTTGTGGCTCAACCAATAACCAAACATTAATCCACATGTCTCTTCCACTCCCACAATCCTAACAGCACAGTATTTACCATTATGAGACAGCCCAGAGCTGGTCTTTCAACCAGTCCCATCACCTGTCCTTTCACCAGTACTTTTCCATGTAGAAAGCCTCAGTTGGTGACAATCAGTCCCTTTCAATAGCATCACTTACTCCTTCAATAACATGGTCCCTGTCAGGCTAAAAATCTTTCTTAAATGCGTCACCAGCCCTCCTAGACCCATCTGAGGGGATTAGAATAGAAGGAATACTATGTTATTGATTTACTTGTCACTATTTACTCTAGGCCAGCTGTTTGCATTGTATACATCACTCAATCTGGACAATGTAGTCAGGGTGGTTTTCTAGTCCGGCTGGTTTTCAGCTTGCCATACTCTTGCAGGATGCTACAATGTTTGCTGTGTAAGTGCTGCAGGAGACTACTTGTAAAACATATTTCATTGGCTTTTTTTTTTTAATTTGGAAAAAAAATATTGCCCCTAACAAAAAATACCTTCCTCACCTACCATGTGTCTCTGTATGAAGGGGATATGCTCCTACCCTGTAATCCTGGGTCGGGCACTGGTACCTGCCCTACCCTCATCCCCCATTAACACAGAGCTACAGAGCTGTGAGGAGATGCTTTCTCCTGCTCCCGCATCCACTGTCCTGCTGTCTCTATGGAGCCCCAGTGCTGCTCCACTGCGGAGTTTCATTCTTTAGCTGCTGGGCTACTTGCTTTTGCCTTCACCCTCTGCTACCAGGCAGGAATGAGCTTTTGAGGTTTCAGATATGATAGCGGGGGGGGAGGATGGTTTAAAGGGAGGCTGGTGTCTTGGCAGCTCATAATCTATTCTCTACCTCCCCTCCCCCATGCCCTCCCCCTGAGAATGCTTTAAGACAGCTAGTATTCTAGTCCTGTATCTGTCCCATTCAAAACTTCCAGTTGTGATACGCAGACAAGTGACCCAAAACAAAAATCACCTTTATGATACCATCACATTTGCACTCCTGGGGTCCCAAATTCAAAGTTGAATGCCCTATTTACATCCTAAACAGGAGACTAAAATAAGGTTTACATAAACACATGCACTTCTCTTCCTGTGATATGTTCTGATTACAAAATATGCTTTTCCTTTTGTAAGTACAGGGTAGACCAGAAGATCAAGACCATGTTTACAGAGATGCCCATTTAGCCAACCAATTCTGTAAAGTGATTACTCACTATGGTAAGAATTTTTCTGCACTGGAATACATTACAAGGAGCCAGGACGTCAGGGAGTGTTTACAGCCTACACAGTGACATTTTTCAGTGTTTACTCTGGGTAGAGTTCCACGTAAATGCCATCAGAGCCCAGACTCTGGGTGAGCTTTACATTTATCATGTTAGCTTATACAGCTTTAACATCTAACTCTAACCCGCTTCTTGCCTTTTGTACTGCCTATTTACCGTCCTCATAGAGAGAGAGCAAGCTTTATACAGTTTGGTATAAACATCCATTTTGAACAACCGGGTGCCAGCTGATCTACAGGGAGTCAGATACTTTATTTTAACATCTCCCAGAAAAAAAACCTACCTAAAATTTGTTGGTTTGTCTGGGTCTATTCACACAGCAGTGGGGGAGAAACACTTTTACATGTGATTATACAAACCCAGTAACTTTGTCAGAGATTTGGGGGCAGAAACAGTACCTCTAACTCACTAACTCTCTCTCTCTCTCTCTCTCTCTCTCTCTCTCTCTCTCTCTCTCACACACACACACACATACAGATAGCTAGATAGAGACTAT